TATCCATATTCAGTCCCACAAAAACACTACCATCAATATCTGCAACTAGATTATTTAATTATGCACATTTTCTATCTGGATTCGACTACAAAATTGAATACAGAAGAACATCGGATCATGCTAACGTAGATTTTTATCTCGGTTCCCAACCGAGCATGCTTCAACTAAAGGCAGGGACAACTATGACCTTTTTCAACTTAGTCAGCTCGATTCTTTTCAAATTAGTAGTTCTACAATTTCTAAGTCAACAGCCCACGACAAAGACCTTCAACCAATACTACATGCACTTGAAGAAGGTAAATCAGTGGAAGCTTTTGGGTACCATGACAATGAATTAACACTTCAAGACGGATGTATATTCAAAGGATGTCGAGTTCTAATACCACAATCCCTTCGTAGGAAGGTTCTTGATGAACTTCATATAGGGCATTTAGGCATGGAGAAAATGAAATCCCTAGCCAGAAGCTATTGTGCATGGAAGAATATTGACCGAGATATAGAGCAATTGGCAAAATCGTGCAAACAATGCCGTTTGAAACAAAATGAACCAAGAAAGGAACAAAATCATCCCTGGCTTGCTCCACAGGGACCATGGGAAAGGTTACATATAGACTTTGCTGGTCCAATGCAAGGACAGTGGTACTTTATAATTGTGGATGCCTTTACTAAGTGGATTGAGGTAATACCTACTAAGAATACTTCTACAGAATTTTGCACAAGAGAACTTAGAAAACTATTTGCTACATTTGGTCTTCCCATGATTTTGGTTTCTGACAATGGAAGTCAATTTACGTCTAGCGACTTCAAACAGTTCCTATCAGAAAACGGGGTGGTACACAAAACAACTGCTCCTTACCACCCTTCGTCAAACGGGCAGGCTGAGCGTTATGTTCAGACTGTGAAGAAGTCCCTAAGAGCAATGGAAGACGAGGGAGGGAAACTAGACTTCAAACTCTTCAGAATGCTTATGCAGTTACGTCAAACCTCAAATTCATCTGGCTGTGATGCATACTCCTTGATGTTTGGCAGGAAGATTCGAACACACATAGCTCTTTTACATCCCACACGTAAACAAGAAACTGAACATGTGAAGCAAGCAACAAGATATTTTAAGGAGGGAGACAGAGTACAAGCTAGAAATTATTCAAACTCAAAAGACAAGTGGAGTTTTGGAAGAATATTGGAAAGGGAAAGCAACCTTCTGTATAAAGTACAAATGGACGATGGAACTGTCTGGAGGCGTCATGTTGACCAACTACTCAAATGCAAAATAACTTTACCAAAACATTTCAGAGGGGAGAATTGATGTGTTTAACTGATGTACTGACTTAAGACCATATGTGTATATGAATTAATGATCACCTGTTATTTTGTATTTGTTTTGTTTGTATTAGTTTTTCTGTTTAGATTAAAGTATGAGTTTGATTCAACTGAACTAATTTAGTTATTATTTGAAAATGTAACAGGGGTAAAGTCAGCAATAAGAAGTGAGCGCACCTTATAATGTCTATTGCTGGCCATTTTGCAGGAAAATACGGCCGCGTACCATATTATCGATGATGTCACCAGGTAGAGGACACTGTAACGGACACGACAGTATCAATATCATGTACCTAGGGGATAAGTTAGGGAGGGGGTAAAGTCATCAAAAATTCAAAAAAAATCTATTGCTGGCCGTTTAGCGGAAAGATCCGGCCGCGTACTTTATTACCGATAGTGTCAACAGATAGAGGTCACTTTATAACGGACACGACAGTATCAATATCATGTACCTGGGGGATAAGTTAGGGAGGGTAAAGTCAGCAATAAGTAGTGAGCGCACCTTATAATGTCTATTGCTGGCCGTTTTGCGGGAAAATACGGCCACGTACCATATTATCGATGACATCACCAGATAGAGGACACTGTAACGGACACGACAGTATCAATATCATGTACCTAGGGAATAAGTTAGGGGGGGTAAAGTCATCAAATATTCGAAAAAATCTATTGCTGGCCGTTTAGCGAAAAAATCCGGCCGCGTACTTTATTACCGATAGTGTCAACAGATAGAGGAAACTTTAACGGACACGACAGTATCAATATCATGTACCTGGGGGAGAATTTAGGGGGGATAAAGCCAGCAATAAATCAAAAAAATCTATTGCTGTCTGTTTAGCGGGAAAATCCAGCCGCGTACCTTATTATCGATAATGCCAGCAGATAAAGGACACTTTAATGGACACGACAGTATCAATATCATGTTTCTGGGGAATAAGTTTAGGGGGGGTAAAGTCAGCAATAAATCTAAAAAATCTATTGCTGTCCGTTTAGCGGGAAAATCCAGCCGCGTACCTTCTTATCGATAATGTCAGCACATAAAGGACACGACATTATCAATATCATGTACCTGGGGGATAAGTTATGGGAGGTAAAGTCAGCAATAAGTAGTGAGCGCGCTTCATAAAATCTATTGCTGGCCGTTTTGCAGGAAAATACGGCCGCGTACCGTATTACCGACGATGTTACCAGATAGAGGACACTTTAACGGACACGACAGTATCATCATGTACCTGGGGGATAAATTATGGGGGATAAAGTCAGCAATAAATCGAAAAAATATATTGCTGTCCGTTTAGCGGGAAAATCCAGCCGTGTACCTTCTTATCGATAATGCCAGCAGATAAAGGACACTTTAATGGGCACGACAGTATCAATATCATGTACCTGGGGGCTAAGTAAGGGGGGGGGGGTAAAGCCAGCAATAAGTAGTGAGCGCGCTTCATAAAATCTATTGCTGGCCGTTTTGCGGGAAAATATGGCCGCGGACCTTATTACCGATGATGTCACCAGATCGAGGACACTTTAACGGACACGACAGTATCAATATCATGTACCTGGGGGATAAGTTAGGGCCGCCCGATAAAATCTTTTGCTAGCCGTTTTGCTGTTTTGACCCCAGTCGCGCACCCTCGCCACTAGGTTTGATCTTACGCGACCAGCGGGCCATGTTATCAAATGCTTTTGCTGTTTATTACGCGCAGCCACAGTCACACCTGTAGCTTCCTCAAACGACTGGCAGTCGCGGTTACGCGCAACTCGAGTGGCCGAAATGTGGCCGCGAACTGTCGTGTCCGTTAAAAAGTACCTATACCTAACATAACTATAAATCGGTTCAATAATAACTTAACTATCGTATCAAATTTGAATTAATCTTAAGATACCATATGATATAAATAAAAAAATAGCAAAAACATTAACGAAGCATTTTATTTTTTTTATCCTTAGTTGTTTTGTTATTAGGTGGCCTAGGTCTATTTGTTTTGTTTCCTTTGGTAAATTATAGTCCTAGACAGTAGTTTAATTTATGAAATATAAACAAAAACCGAACAAACCATTAATCAATTTTATGTATAGCCTACATTGGGGAAAAATAAAGAATATTTTTTAATACAAAAATTAAATCGGATAAATACCGATACGTAATGTTAAGTATTTATCCGAGAAAAAAAAAACTTCACGAAAATTATTTAGTATGACATCATTGCGATATGATGTACTTTTTAGATGTTTAATTGCAGTTTCTTTCACGCTGAATCCAAAAATGCAATTGGTTTTTGTCGGTGAGATTCCTAAGTGGCTTTAAAAAGAAGGGTAAAATTACGAATCTGAGGTTCATTTAGCGGTTCAGATGATAATATGGCGTGGTCTGGACGGATCCGTATGTGTTATTGTCTGAAAGTTTTGTTGTAATTAGTAATACAAAACCTCAAGAACCCTTCATAGTTCGCTAGCTATAGTAAGTAGTTGTAGCTTAGTAACAACTCCGTTACTAAGCAGAGTAGAGTAATTAATGTTTTTGGTACTGTACAGTAATACATTAAAATACATTCAACTTATTTGGCCACGTATCACACACAATTTAGTTGTGCATCATAGAATACGTTAGGTTAAAAAAGAAGTGATACTCAGCCCATGATTTTAATCACTCTGTCACATGATTACAGTACCACCGTGAGGGGGGGGGGCTAATGGGGCAAATGCCCAGGGACACGGGCCTTAACTTAGGTTGGACAATTTTTAGCGTAAAACTGACCCCAGTTACTTTTTGCTTTGGGGCTTTAAAAATTATTGCCTTGTGAATTAACAGGTTTAGATTAACATCCCCAGCCAAAAACATAACAAACACCACTGACACTACGTTATAATTTATGATAGACAAAAGTAGAGCTTATGCTATTTATATTTGATTTTTGGATAGATATATGCGGCATTAGAATTATTTCTAAAATAAAAGAGCATTACGCCCGTAGTACAAAAAAATCGTTGTTAGTCTGGCCGCTGCCGCCGCACAAACTTGCGGCGCGCCGCAGGGGCAGGGTGAGGGACCAAGGACAGATTATATGTACAGTACTTGGAATTGTCTTCGTTCATTCTCATACGCGACTTCGGAGCATACTCCTAGTTTATAAACTGTGTATTATATTCTTCAATAAGAATTGTATTGACTCGACCTTTAAAGGGCTGTAGGTCGTAGCCCTTAGAAAAAGCGTAAATTCTAAGGAAGTTTGGAAAATCTACACACTATCCCCTTCAATTTGAGACATAAATCTTGTAGATCGGTCCAGTAATTACTGAGAAAACAGTGTTACAACTGTGTATTAAATATATAGATAGTTTGACAATGTCACCTGTTTTGTCTGGCTGTGCCAGAGCATAAAAAAAACGTTTTGTGACAATAAAGATGACTTTGACTTTTGACTTTGAATTAAACATTAAAATTAAGAATTTTACTGTTTTGTGTTATTTGTTTTGTTGTGTGTATGAAACCTAATCTGGACTCTACCTACCAGGTAAGCTAGCTGATCACTATGAACATAATAGTATCTAATAAGAAAAAGAAAAAAAAACAAAGCTTTGGAACACTTTTGGTTAACCGAGATTACATATAATTGACTGTAGGATAATTGATGCTTTATTATTATGCTAAAACTAGATAGAAACATACACCAGTTACTTACCTTTCCACCAGCCACGCTGAGGGACGCAGATGCTTGAGGTAAACCAGACAACTGGTCATCCAACTGCAGGCCCAGTTCATCTAGTACTTGTGCCACAACAGCATCACTGAACAACCACAAACATTTGTAATGCCACTAGCTAATGTTGTCAGCTCTTCAATATCACACAACCTAGAAGTGAGTTGGAGCCTAAGCATGAGTTTTTATATCCCTCCGAGCGTCACTCGTCGAAAAATCGACTCACGACACACTTTGTGTAGTGTCACGCGTCGATTTTTTGACACACGAACATCGTTTACGGCGAAGGCTCTATGACTGACTGAATCGGATTGAACTGGATCGAGTTAGGTATCGTTCTTTTCGTTAGATTCTAAGCTTTCTCCAGAGGTCTGTCTCTAAGCGCTTTATGTTCTCCGAGCTGATCGTAATTGTAGCAGACAGCTGACGTTCGTGTTTTGTTTTAGACAACTTGGTTATTTCACATCGGTGACTTGTGTGTTTTTGTACGTTTATCGTTGTTTTTAGTGGTAAAAATGGACAGTAGTGATATACGTAATGCACTAGAAGATGATATTAGTGATGTTGAAGGACTTATTGACGATCCGGATGAAGTTGGTAGTGACATTGATGTTAATTATCAGCCAGATTCCTAGCTATGGTTAGGCTATGCATTCTTAGCTAAACGCTATGTACTGAAATCTGTTTTTTGCCCATAACTTATTTATTTGCAAATCTACTTCCTTATATTATTATATATTTGTAATCCTCATAAAATTTAGAACAAAGTGGCTATTTTAAAATATTTATAGGCCTATAATTTATACAATTTCATTGAGCGCAAACTTACTTTTTTTTTCAATTTTTCCCAAATAATTTTTTTTTACCTAAAAAAATTTTTTGGAACAAATATTCCTTATGTTTTATGTATGATATTGAAGCCCATGATTTTCCAAACAAAATGGTATATAGAACAGTAGAATTAACATTGTTTTAAGCTTCTCAGATCCGTTTTAATAAAACCTTGCAAATGCGCCAAAAATAGGTGGACATTAAGGCCTAAACTATGGACACTCGGAGGGCTAAAGGACTAAAAAAAAGACAACATTGCCAGTCCATATAAAAAAATAAGGATCTAGTATGTCCTACCCCCCTAAATCTGAAGCCACTAACAACCTATACTATTAGGTCAGTAATATTAATACTGAGGGATATCTATTATGTTATGTTGATCTCATCTGTTCTTACCAACCATCTCAGTCTGCTTCCAGATCCACTATGTCAAACATTTGTGTCAACTAATTTTCAAGAAGAACTGGTAATATTGGAATAAATATAAATTTAAAATAAAAACTTCACCAATTTTTTCTGAATTTTTAATTGCAATTTAGAGGCCTTTCGCCAGCTATGCTGGCATCATCAGACACATCACAAAACTGAAGGTTATGTTTATGTCAACCAATTGTTTGGAATTCAACTTAACAGTGGAAGAAGCCCTGCAGAAAACAAAAGAACTTGGATTGGGTGTTAAGCTAGGAGTAGATCTAAACATATTGACATTTGCTGATGATGTGGTATTTTAATCAGAAACAGTTCAAAACTTGGCAAGTTTGGCAGAGGTACTTATCACAGAAGCAAACAAAATAGGACTGCAAGTAAATTTAGAAAAAACTAAAATCATTAACTTTGGAAGACAAGCAAACAATAGAAACAGAAACAGACAGATAAAGAACTCAACTATAAATTGTGCAGAAAGTTTCAAATATTTATGATTATGAGTAAATGTAAATAGTAGAAACTCAGAAGACGAAGATATTCTAACTAAGTTATCAAATGCCAGTAAGTGTTGGGGAGCCTAGAAAAAGTTGATCTCATGCAAAAAGTATTATCTCACAGAACCAAAATACAGTTATATAAGACAATAATTCAACCTATTCTGTTATATTGTAGTGAAACATGGGTATTGTCCAAGAAAAATGAAAACCGACTCATGGTGTTTGAAAATAAAGTCCTAAGAAAAATATTTGGACCAGTGCAGGAGGGAGAAATGTGGAGAATGAGGAAAAATAGAGAGTTAAGATCACTATACACCAACCCAGATGTTGTTGCAATAGTTATAGGAAGAATGTTAAGTTAGGTAGGGCATGTGCTAAGAGGAGGGAAAGGAACAAGACTGTATGAAGTTTATAGAGCCACACCTGGAGGTAAACGCCCATTGGGAAGGCCGAAATTGAGATGGACTGACCAAGTATTGAACGACATCAGGACAATGGGTGCAAATGTCAACTTGGCAGAAGACAGACAAGGACAGAAGTGAGATTTGTGGAGCCACGGCAGTAAGTAATTGTTTGGAATTGTAGCAATCAAGTGTTGATAATTCACAAGTATTATCCATGTCTTTATCGACTTCCCATACACAAGGTTAGGTATGTAACATAGAGCACAAGAGCCTAGGTTTTTGGGATTTTATGTGAGGATAGCAAGCTTGGCTTACCTAAATAGGAAAGATTATTTTTGTCCAAGGAAAGGCTCTAGGCCAGGATTTAGAATTGCAGAATAAGGAGGATGGAAGCTAACTTACCTTGAAAAGACGAAGGCGATGAGGGTTTGAAACTCTCATCACTTTCTCTACATTTGTCAAAGTTCTCTAGGGAATAAAATATTGTGTGTTCAGTTTCTACTCTGTATGTTGTATGGCCTACGTGCACTTGTCAAGGTAAGCTAGCTGCTATCCTCCCCATTCTACAATTCTAAATGGGAAAGAGTCCAATCTGGCACACAAAACACAATACTTACGAAATATTTCACTGTCACTGACAACATTCCCAACCAAGGATAGTATGAGTTGATATTCTAATGTTATGTTTAGTGTAAAGTTTTGCTTATCATTCATAAGGTTAATGAATGTAAGGTTTTACTATTACTACTATGTTAATTAGGCCTACTATTGATTGCCATTAACTACTATATTGAAATCATTAAGTACCATTAAGTTTTGCACATATGAATGAATGTAGCCTACCGTACTGCTTGTGTATCATTTGGTGTTGTATTATGTGTTTGCAGTATGTATGAAATAAAAGAGTAAGTGGAAACTTACCTTTCCTCCTCGTCTCCCTCGTCCTCCATAGCATCGTCAATGGCATCATTCATAATCTCCTCCTTCATATCCATCATCTCAGACTGCTTCTCAAACTCCTGCAGTATTCTCTGGATTTGAGGCAGGTTCAGTTGTCTGCACAGCAATAAGCAAATTAAACACATCCTTGACTAGAACCACTATATAAAATATGTCTGAATTTTCAAACAGACAAATGCTTAATTATTTGTCATACATTATGATCTTAAGTAAAATGTGTAGGTTACAAGTTGACATAACAGAATGTATGGTCAGACATGAAGTGGTTATTAATTATCATTGTTATAATTATAATTCACTAAATGTTTATATTGTAGTTATCTGCATCTTTGCTTGTGTTGATTAAGAAACAGTGTAAAAATCAAAACCTAAAGTGGCAATACTTTCCTTATCTTTAAAGATAGTATTGATAAATGAAAGTGAAGATATAATTTCAAATTTCTCAAGTCTTTGGAAGTTGTCCTCAGTCATTGCCTTTTTAGTTCAAGAACAAACAATTTTTTCCCAGTATTTTAAGCATTTAAACTGATAAATATTATTTAGGAAATATTGCCCACCTGTAAAAAGATATGTAGTTTTGTTTCATAATATGAATTTTGTAACAATTCATTTTTATTACGACAATTATGTAAGGTATTTACAACACTCACTCATTATAGGCTACCTAAAAGCTTAGCTCAAAATCTCAGGCTCCCATTTACCCCTTATTATTTTCTTTTATAACCTACTTCAAGAATTCAGTTTAAGACAATAATCACTTGTTAAAAATCAAAACACCTGCACTAAATTTACCAATTCTATTTTTAAACAATTTCCAAAGATACTCAACGTACCTATTCATATTCTGCATTGCTTTTGTAACTCCTTTCATGGCCTGAGCCATAGCATTTTGAGAACGGAGGGTCTGAATTTTAAGAGAGACTGCTTGAATATTTGCTTTCATCATCATAAACTTCTTTTCATAGCGCCTCGTTCTCACTAGGTCTTTTGCCATTATTTTTACCGCATCCTGTAAAAATATAAAACAGATAAAGTAAAAGCAGCGCAATGCTTCAATTTAACTACAGATTTCACTTTCAGTTTTAATGAAGTATTTGTATTATGAAATAGTAGTTTACGTAACGATCACATTTAAAGGTAGAGTAACGACAAAAGTAGAAATTTAAGGTACGAGTATTGGCAAGTGCCTTAAAAACTTCTACGAGTATCGTTAAGACTATTTATGCAAGTTGAGTACACTACTTTACCTTCAACAGTTTTTTTAATTACTTACAATCACTATTAAAAACTTCTAAGAGAGGATGTTTTTGTTTATAACATCTCATTGCCACTGACAGTGATGCAACGAATCATTGTATCAAACACTAATTGCACCACAAATTAACAATAAAATGAGCCTGAACAGCTGATTAGTTGAAGTTCGAAGCATTACAATTTTACTTCTTTTCTCTCCATCCTTGAACCTCATTGCTATGTTACCGTACCAGTGTTGTTAAGTAAAAAAAAAAACAATGCTGTTATAGTAGTTGACCTACGACCGTTTTTTAAAGTAGTTGTTTCAGTTCAGTTCTTAGAATTGAAAAGTTTCACATAACAGCATTGTTTACTTTCATAACAGCATCGTTTCACTCATAACACAGGTAACGGACCAATGAGGTTCAAAGATTGAGAGAGAAACAGTAAAATCTATATTATTAATACGAGACATGAAACTTTGTAAACAATAAAAAGGCCTATTTTTCTTGGGCGATTGCAACGATAGTCGAGTAGCGATAATCGCTCCGCGATAGTAGCTGGGTACTGTTCTATCGGAGTTTGTGATGTCCTGTTTTGCTTAGAGCGACTGTCGCAAGAGTCGCTAGCTACAGTTGTGGAACACAGCCCTGGATACTAGTCTTGCGATAATCGCGCCGCGACTGATGCACAGCGACACATGCACAGAACCTCAAAACAGTGCTGTTCACTAGGCACATTAATAATAGGAGTTAAAATAACCATGATTTACTCTTTTGTTCACATGAATTTTTCTATTCATGTGCTGTTACGATTGTATTGTTTTGTAGTGTGAGTGTTAATACTGTACCGGTATCAGTTTTTTGTATGAATAAATCTTTTTTATTTAGACTCCAGGCTTTATTTTCCGACATTCATGTACAAACAAATACATAATATTTATGTCTTATTGATATAAATATTTTTTTGTGTGATATGAATATATTTTTTCCTTTGATATCACTACAGTTTTCTATTTATATCCTATCTAGTGACATCTAGTGATACGTATCCGTCCCAAATCCTACGTATCACTATGTATTTTCTATCGATCGTCAATTGATACTTCCACAAGGGTCAAGTAGAGCCTCGTCTTCTAACTCCTCGCTGAGGAGATACTTTAACAAGTTAAAACACACACTCACGACTTCACCATTGTGAGTGCTGGTATTCAACTAACTATGAAAAATCATGCGGCGACCGAAAACCAATTGCTCTAAGCAAAATGGCCGCCGTAACAGCAATAGTAGCTGAGCGATATTTGCTGTGCGACTATCGCTACAGTCGCTCCAAGCAAAATAGGTCTTAAGGCTTTATTGTTTTAAGATTTAACCCCTCATATTATATACCAAAATGTTCGTCTAGGTGTATAGATTTACAAACTGACCTTACAATTTTGAAAAAGCCCCTTGGGCTCTGCCCAGTGGTTTTTTAAGTCCCCATGTTATCCTTACGAAGAACATATTTGTTTACATTATGATCAGCTGTTAATATTTTAATTGCAATTTAAGTGCTACAAACATTTACTGACTTGGTTCAAATGAAATATTTACTATTTTTGAATTTGGGTTGGCATAAATATTACAATGGAAAAAAGCGATGTGGCCCGGACAATTTGATATACTAAAAAGAAAACTGAATTAACACTGTGCAGCATTTCTTGAGCAATCATTGAAAGAGCAATGACAGCATGAATGAACAGCACCCAATCACCCCCATTCACCCATTTGAATGAGCAGCATTGGAGCTGATTTGCAAACTATGGAAGCATTGGAAAGTCAGAGAGCACCACCAAGTAGATAAATGAAAATTATGTGTTTTTTTTTTAGTTTTTATAATCATTATTATGGACAACCTAATGAGGCTAGAGTGGGAAACATTTGTAGAAAACAGAAAAAACAAGATCAGCTTTTGAAAAATTATAAGATACTAGCTGTACCCGCGGGCTTTGCCCCGTTTAACTTCATGAGTTTAACTTCGTTCGCTACGATCACTCACCTTTAGGTTGGAGCTCGTTCGCTGCGCTCACTTGCCTTTAGGTTGGAGCTCGTTCGCTGCGCTCACTTGCCTTCAGGTTAGCTCGTTCGCTACGCTAACTCGCCTACAGGTTGAAGTTCGTTCGCTACGCTCACTCACCTTTTGGTTGCAAATTAGCTGTTGTCATAAATTAAAAAAATAATAGTGCTGCACCCTGTTGGTAATCCTTGTAACTTTAATGCTATTGAACATCACAGAACAGAACCAAATTGTTTAATTGAAACAGCTGTTAAGATTCATTAACTCCTTTTAAATATGAAACATCATAAGGTTAACATGGGAAACTCCAGAGCCACTGGGGCGGAGCCCGGAAGCCCGATCAGAATAAAAACTACTTAGTTTTCCTAGGTAATGCCCAAAAAATCGGTGTACCGAATTTCAGCCTCCTAGGTAAATGGGAAATGGGAGAATTAGTGATGAGTGAGTGAGTCAGTCAGTGAGTCAGTGAGGGCTTTGCCTTTTATATATATAGACTAGCTGTAACCCGCGGGCTTTGCCCCGTTTAACTTCTTAATTTTCAAGATTATCTCGTTCGCATGGCTCAATCACGTCCTGGTTGAAGTTTGTTCGCTACGCTCACTCACCTTTAGGTTAGAGCTCGTTCGCTACGCTCACTCACCTTTAGGTTGGAGCTCGTTCGCTACGCTCACTCACCTTTAGGTTGGAGCTCGTTCGCTGCGCTCACTTGCCTTCAGGTTAGCTCGTTCGCTACGCTAACTCGCCTCCAGGTTGAAGTTCGTTCGCTACGCTCACTCACCTTTTGGTTGCAGATTAGCTGTTGTCATAAGTTTAAAAAAATAATAGTGCTGCACCCTGTTGGTAATCCTTGTAACTTTAATGCTATTGAACATCATAGAACAGAACCAACTTGTTTAATTGAAACAGCTGTTAAGATTCAATAATTCCATTTCTCGTAAGGTTAACATGGGAAACTCCAGAGCCACTGGGGCGGAGCCCGAAAGGATTTTTGAAATAAGAATATGCCTATATGTTAATCGGGAATGTGAGCTATCATCATGCCAAATTTCAGCCTAATCCGACCAGTATTTTTCGAGTTTACTTTTCCCATACACACATACACACATACAGCAACCACCTCTTTTTTATAATAGTATAGATAGATATATATATATATTGAATTTGAACGGATGGTGTTTTTGGCCTCTGGGGACCTCAAAAGAAAAAGTAAATCGGTCCCGGGTCTAGGTCTTACCATGAGACCTACGGTAATAGCTCTTTCCCTATATGGGAAATTCGCTAAAAACAATGTGATGTGCAAGTTATGTTAAGTTAATCTAACACATGTGAAGCAGTTAGAATTTATTTAAAGTAGCCTCCAAATTCATACAAAACATCTATACATTGTAATTTTCATACTGTTTCCATGAAAACATATCAATAACATTATTTTCCCTTAAGATTATTAACTTAAGACGCTTTAAAAAATCCAAAGCAGAGCCGGAGTTGATACAGCAACTGTGATAAAATCTTTTTTTTCTATAATCATTGACATAGTTTTAGAATAAATAATCCATGATAAAAGGTTAGCTTAAAATAAACCTACCTCATATGGAAAATATTATATTTAATTTCTTTGTATCAGCTGTTAGGCCAGTCAAATTGGACAATAAAATCGCAAAGTGTGATGTATTGCTGCATTTTTAATATGTTGTTGGGACCAGTTAGGGTAACTCAAAACCAAGTTTGCAGCTTCGAGATCCCTGTGCTCCCTGCGTAATAAGTAAAATATTACAAAATTAATGTATTTTTTTAGTTTTTGGTCTATAACTTCTTAACAGTGCATTTTTCTTAATATTACTCAAATGTAATAATTAAAGTACATAAAATTTCCAACAATTTAAGCATAGTTTCATTTTTGTGTGTCAAATAGTTTGTGAGCAATGATTTTTTAAACATTACAAATTTTTTAAAGTAATTACCATAATTTACATTTTTCCTGATTTAGACCCACGAAAATTATGTAAAACCCATATTATGGGAGAATTATTAAAAACTGTTTTTATAGTAAATTTTATTGGCTTTCGTTCTATCACAAAGCCAAGTCCATACCACCAACACTTTTCTAAAAACCATACAAATAACAATTTATTAATATCACGAATGTTTATTTAATGAGTTGAAATAATGTCCCCCAACCATTAAGTGATAAAACTAAATGAGGAAAAAACATATTTAAGGTTAAAAGTTATATTTAAATATAAATTATGACAAAACATTCTTATAATTACTTTAATTATAATTATACCAATTAATTAATTTATTACAATTATACTGAAGCACAGAAACATACTTTGTTATAGTAGTATGTTTTCTGTGACTGAAGGCAAGGTATTATAAATGTTCCCTGATTCAAACTCATAAGGTAAAGACATATTATCGTCAGGGTCACCTTCATCCTCCTCAATAAATAGTAATGTGACATTTTGGCAATTCTTAGCAGAGCAAGGAGTAAATAATGGTGAACACTTTAGCCCGGCCTTTCGACATGTGCAAGCACTCGTGCATCCCTTTTTGCACCTACATGCAATTGGTTTCAAAAGGTTGGATGGAGCTAGACTGCATGAGGTTGTCACTGGAACCAATCCTGATGTGCTATTTGACCAACCCCACTCTGTGGGATCCTTTTCAATCCCTAAAAATTTTTTTTGCACTTGGTGGAATGCTCGAAATGAGTGGAAG